GTGTGTGAGTGTGTGTGTGTGTGTGTGTGTGTGTGGGTGTATATATATCACAACTGAATTTTAATTGAATATTTTTTTTCTCTCTGGTCTCTTATTTCTGCTTTATATATTACCTATTCATTTTCCCAAGTTTATAAGTTGGAATATGGAACAATAGTATTAATAATATTAACTAATAATAGTTTATAATATGGAATATTTTCAGAATGTTTTTATGATAGTCATTTTATATATATTTTTGTACTTCTTTAGTTTTAGCATATATGTTTAATGTCATTCATTTTACTTTTTTTGCAAATATAAATGTTAAATAATATCTTATAAATAAATCATAAAAATTATATTTTCTAGTTTTTTTTTAATTACATATTTTTTTTCTCTCTTATTTCTGATTTCTGCTTTATATATGATCAAATCTGTCATACCGGTCTTCATTAATTTTATTCTCTTTATTATATTGTCTGTGTTTGTAGAGTGTGAATTCAGAAGTTCAGTCCAGGAGTGAAACACATGAAGAAGAAGAAGAACACGCAGAAACCCACCCGTCCACAGGTACAGTGATACTTCATCTGGATTCATAATTCATAATCCCTTCATCATATCTTCAGAAATCAGTCATCACACCATCATAAAATCATCCATATGATCCATAAATGATGTGCATATTAATGTCAGTTTACTGCGAGACCTGTATTGTTCTACATTACTGACTTTATTCCTGAATCATTTCTACACAGACGTCAGTTAAAGTTGATCTAGTGAACACTCGTGTGTCTGTCTCTCGCGAGGCGCGGCGCTGGGACTGTTTGTGTGCATGATCGCGGGAATAAATTGCTTCTGCCGGGAATTCACGCTTGTTTTCAGACGAAACCCTGTTTGATGATGCAAGATGAACATCACCACAGCTTACAGTAAAATACATCCAAATATGAAATATGTCCAGTTCCATACTTCGACCCCAAAAGAAAAATTGTAGAAATCAATAAAATAAAAATTTATATTTTGCATTAGGGAAAATTAAGTCAGTTTCTTTAAATTGATTAATTAATTTATTTATTCCTTATTTTATTATTATTATTTATTTTTTATCAAGACTTTACTGCATTGTTATTTATTTGGTTTGTTTTATTTAATAGGGTTACAATAATAAGACATTGGGTAAAATTTTCCATATTCTCGTCACTTTATAAAAAAAATAAAAATAAAAATATTATTTTTCCAAAATCTCATAATTATAATGCAATAAGAATAATACAACTAATGTTTTGATGCAAAAAAAGGAAATTATTTTCCCCACATTCTCATTATTATAATGCAGTAAAAATAATGAAATTGTTTTAATGCAAAAAAGTTTTTTATTTATTTATTTTGTTATACTATAATGCAATAAAAATGTTTCGGTTAAAAAAAGTAAAGAATATTTTACAAATTCTTATTACTATAGTACAATAAAAATAATGAAATGTATGTTTCCATGCAAAATGATTATCATTTATAATACAATAAAAATAATGCAATTAATAATGTTTTAATTTAAAAAGCACGTTATTTCCCCAAATTCTTATTACTATAATGCAGTAAAAATTATGAAATTAATAGTTTCAATGCATTTTTTTAAAGTAGTGATTTTTAATTAATAGTATAATTTAAAAATGTTTTGTCGTCTTTTGATTTTGGAGTTAAATATGACCCAGAAGTATAATATTAACCTGTTTTTGTTCTATTTCCAGTCATTCATGTTGAATATATTGTGCGTTAATTAAATGTAACACTGTTATTTTCTTCACTGCAGATGGCGGGAAAGAGCACCCTGTGGCTCCGCCCACGATGATCTGGCGCGTGACCGGCGGTCTCTTCAGCGCCACGAAGGGCGTGGTCAGAGCCACAGTGGGCGGAGTCACTTGGCTAGGCGGGAAAAGTTTGGAGATCACCAAATCAGCAGTGACCGCGGTGCCCTCGTTGGGCGTCGGCCTGGTGAAGGGCGGGGTTTCAGCGGTGGCGGGGGGCGTGTCTACGGTGGGGTCGACAGTAGCCAATAAAGTTCCGTTCACAGGAAAGAAGAAAGACAAATCGGAGTGAAGAAGAGGAGGGTTCTAACGAGTCAGTGATGCTGACTTTCTCTCTTTCTGTTTTGATTGGTCACCAGAAACGTTGACGGATATTTCTGACCAATCAACGTCCAAGACATTTGCGCAAAAGGGAGTTTTGTACGTCATACTGTGGGTTTCTGATATAAACAAATTTGATCTCAAAGGAAAATTTTTTTTTCTCGAATCACATTTATCAGTTTGTGCTTCCGTAGCTGTTAAACGAGGTCATCTGGTTTCTTCTGAAACGTTATCGGTCGAATTGTGTTTGTAAATTCGATTTGTTTATTATTTGAATATAATAAAGTCACGTAAAAGATGGTGTAGAAAGTTTTCAGTGATTCTCCGGATGTGGACAGAAGATGATTTCACTCCAGTTTGATCCAATATTTCATAACGTACTCTACGAAAACGCATAAACGCAAACACTTCTAGCTTAAAACGTAACGCCAAAATACAATTCATAACGTTTTGCTTTCATATGTTGGAAAAGTCTGAAGAGAATCTTGATTAGCAAGTTAGCGAAGCTTCTTTAACGTAACCATGTGGTCAATAATATCGGTATAGTCAGAATTAAACGTAACTTTTTTTTACGTTTTAGTCAATTAAATTTAATTGGAACTTTTTTGTTATTTTTTTATTGTCACGATTAAAACAGTGTGTTTGTGTAGATGCTTCCCTCAGAGAAACGAGCATGATTCAAACAATAATTTAAGAAAACGCACAAAATTCTGTAAAGGTTTGATATGATTTTGTGTAGAAACGTAGGCTAATTAGTGAACTCGTTGACTACAAGCCATGTAGGTTATAACATCTTTGCAGGCTAATCGGTTAGCTTAGTAATGCAACTGATTAGCCTGATAAAACCAGCTATTAAAGTCGTGCGAGCAGGCCAATCAACTAATCTATAGCTTAGCTGGCTACTTATCTAGTAGTTTGTGCAGGCTATGCTAGCGGATTCATTTGTTATCGGCTATAAAATTAAGCAAATGTAAGCTAACTGAACACGGAAATATTTAATTAGCTTTAATTACATCTTCCCTTCACATGAATGCAGTCTTTCAGCCCAGTCACATCACAACACAGGGATTGAGGGCGAAAAAAACTATTAAAATATACAACTTAAGTCACTTATCGTGTGTATTTAATGTTAAAGGGAATATTATCGGGCATGCTAGCAGCTAACTTCTTTAAGAGACAAAAATGGTTCATAACTAGACAACGAGACATAAAACACTCACTTTGTTTAAATACTTTTTTATTAGCTGGCTGATTAAGTACCACACAGACTTAAGAAACAAATGCTGGTACTATATATATAGAAGTACTGTCACAATTAATCGCGATTAATTGTGACAGTACTTCTATATATATATATAGAAGTACTGTCACAATTAATCGCGATTAATTGTGACAGTACTTCTATATATATATATAGAAGTACTGTCACAATTAATCGCGATTAATTGTGACAGTACTTCTATATATATATATAGAAGTACTGTCACAATTAATCGCGATTAATTGTGACAGTACTTCTATATATATATATAGAAGTACTGTCACAATTAATCGCGATTAATCGCATCCAAAATACGTTTTTGTTTATATATGCATGTACTGTTATTATATAAACACACACATGCATGTATATATTTAAGAAAAATATGTTTTGTTTATATTTAAAACATTTATATATAATATAAATATACAGTGTATATATAAATACAAGTAAATATTTTTAAAGTAAATACATGCATGTTTGTGTATTTATATATACATAATAAATATACACAGTACACACACATACTGTATAAACAAAAAATGTAATTTTGGATGCGATTAATCGTTTGACAGCACTAATATATATATATATACAGAGCTGGGCAGATACTTACAAACAGTAGTTCGTTACTGATTACAGGACAAAAATTGTAGTTAGTAATGTAATCCATTAGATTACACATCTTAGATGATATAACCAGACTACTTTTTGATTACTTTTGACCAAACTAGTTTATCACACTGATTTAAACAGGACAATCTTGTACCATACTGATACAAAAATACAAGGAGTCAGAAAATATATTCCATTTGTTGTAATTAACAACATGAAGCGCATTAAGCCGGTTCGTGAGTTTAAATGAAAAGCTATTTTAGAAAGGAACATTTAAAATAATAATAAATAAGTTATTGCTATTGTGTGAATATTATGTAATCAATAAAAAAGTAACTGTAGTCTGATTACAAGTATTTTAAAATAGAATTGAATCTAACTACAAGTACTTAATTTTTGGAATCGGATTACGTAATCCAGATTGTAATCCATTAGATTACACATCTTAGATGATATAACCAGACTACTTTTTGATTACTTTTGACCAAACTAGTTTATCACACTGATTTAAACAGGACAATCTTGTACCATACTGATACAAAAATACAAGGAGTCAGAAAATATATTCCATTTGTTGTAATTAACAACATGAAGCGCATTAAGCCGGTTCGTGAGTTTAAATGAAAAGCTATTTTAGAAAGGAACATTTAAAATAATAATAAATAAGTTATTGCTATTGTGTGAATATTATGTAATCAATAAAAAAGTAACTGTAGTCTGATTACAAGTATTTTAAAATAGAATTGAATCTAACTACAAGTACTTAATTTTTGGAATCGGATTACGTAATCCAGATTACATGTAATCAGTTACTACTCAGCTCTGTATATATATATATATATCTTTAAAATTCAAAACAGCTACTAATATTCCGTAGAAAAACTGAAAACACAAATGGTAAAAATGTACATCTCCATAAGATTAATATACAAAACATTGGAGTACATAGAAATGGAAACGATAACAATGAGAGGTGGAAATAATGTACAGCGATGGAAGACCGATGACAATTTTAAAATAGAATTGAATCTAACTACAAGTACTTAATTTTTGGAATCGGATTACGTAATCCAGATTACATGTAATCAGTTACTACTCAGCTCTGTATATATATATATATATATCTTTAAAATTCAAAACAGCTACTAATATTCCGTAGAAAAACTGAAAACACAAATGGTAAAAATGTACATCTCCATAAGATTAATATACAAAACATTGGAGTACATAGAAATGGAAACGATAACAATGAGAGGTGGAAATAATGTACAGCGATGGAAGACCGATGACGTCAAACACCTGGAGCCCATTCTACACAATTCTATCTGTGCAAAAACACTGAACAAAATACAGTCGTTTAAATACAGACGAGACAATCATTCATCTGTGGTACAGTTACAATAGTTTGGACCCAAACGCATTCCAACAGTCATGTGACTCTCACATCACCATGGAAACAGACGCAGGTATGTACAGGTGAGGCTGGTTCAGAGCAGCGCTGCTGAAACTCTTCCGTTCTTCCGTAATACTGAGCAAATCTGGATCCGTTTAAATGTGGCGTAACGCGTGTTCTTCTTTGGCTGTTTGCGATTACTTGTATTTTCACATATTAAGGTCCGTTTACGCCACAAATCTTCGC